GACTGGGGTAATCGGGATGGATGTGTCAGAGGCAATGCGATTGGCACAGGATAGAGCAGGGTTTAGGGCTGTTGTACATAGGGTCGCTATGAGTTGCAACCCTCATATGACTCAGCGGCACATAACAACAACAACAATGTATGTATCACATTGTTTTTTATCCACTCATTCTCTGATGGACATATAGTTTGCTTCCACCTTTTTGCTACTGGGAACAATACTGCAATGAGCAGAGAGGTGCACACATCTATTCATGTCACTGCCCTTCCAGGTCTCAGATGTATACCCAAGTGGAATTAATAGGTCATGAAGGTCAGCTTCCTTACGAAGGACTATATTATTCCCATAGTAGTTGTACTGTTTTATGATTCCACCAGTGATGCTTAACAGTTCTAATCTTTTCACTACCTTGTAAGCATTTAATGTTCTCTGGATTGTGTGTTTTTGGTTGCTTTTGGGTTTGTTTTGTTTTTCAAGCAATTGCAAAGGTGAGATGGTATCTCACTGAACTTTGGATCTGTATCTCTCAAATGGTAATGATCTCATACATTTCTTCATTTATTAGTCACCTGAATGTCTTCTTTGGTCAAGTGTGTGTTCATGTTCTTCGAATATTTTTATTATTGATTTTTTTCTTTTTGTTGTTGACGTTTTTTAGGTAATTTAGAGAGATTAGATACTAGTTAGATATGTTGTTGCCAAAGACTTTTACCTGTGTTTGTCTACTCTTTTGAAAATGTCTTTTGATGAGTATTAGTATTTAATTTTAAGGTGTTAACAGTTTAATTTATCTTCTATTGTTTGTATCATTTCAATTGCATCTGATAGGTGGCTATTTATGTCAAATATTAGGTACCTTTGCTTTCATCAAGGAATATGATAGTTTCACTGTTAATATTTAAACATATGAGCCAATTTGACTTAGTTTCTGTGCATGGAGTGAGATATCAATTCTGTTTCATTTTCAAAATTAATTTTCTTCTTGACATCAGGAATACAAAATTTCTATGTCACATTGCTACCATGTCTAAAGTGTACCTCAAACCAGGCATCTTGGTCAAATGGGAAACTGTCTGCAGTACCAAAGCAAAGCATTATTTTTTTTAAGGGTAAAATAGTAAAGATAGATTTCTTAGAAAGCTACATCCCCAAAGGGACAGATCTTCCTCCTGAAAGGAGTTATGGAGGGGAGGACATATGATGTTTGGATTCACTGGAAATACATGTATATCAGACTACATCTGTGCTCCATCATGGACCTTTAGGCGAGCAGCTAACTATGTTAATAATTTTGCACAAATCACAGACTGAAATTTTGCAGGGAATCCTAGTTTATAAAACATATGGAAGAAACTAAGGAAGGGTTGAAAGGGCTTAGGGACTTCCCAGTTTGCTTTTATGAGACACAGTGGCTATTTTACAAGTGTATGTTCAATCTTTTACAATGCAAAATGTGTATGTCCTTATATATACATGTTGTACCACTGAGTTGGATACGACTCAAAGTTTGACCTGCCAGGGGGTTGTTAGAGTTAATTAAGCAGTAGGAAACTGTCCATCTTTCTCCTGTGGGGTGCTATTGGAATAAAACCATGTGCCTTTAGGATGCAGCACAGTGTATTGCCAGGAGGCCACCAGAATGCCCTGTACTTTGATTTTTATTACCAATAGCGACTGCTACAATGAGGAAGCATTTGGTATGCTCTTACATGCTACAGAAAAATGCAGAGTTGAAATTACGTTCTTGTATGACAATGTGGGCAGTAGGCCACACATCTTTAATTGATGAGGTCTTACCTTAAGCTCAAAGAAAAACCAATGATAAAAGGAAAAAATGTGCTGTATTGGTTTTACTCAGTTTACTCAGAAGCCAATTAATATTAGACTTCACTCTAGGCTAAGTAGTTAGACTACTACTTAAGGGTTAAGAGTCAGGAATTAGAAAGATGATATTCATATTTGGAATGACAGACTTGATATATTGGGGACGTTAAAGAAGATACAGGACTCTAGAGTAGTAATGTTTAACCATGAGAAACACATATGTGACATGAACTTTGCAGCTGTTTTGTGCTGTGGGGTGGATTCTGCCTTATGATGACCCTAAAAACAGGTAGAGCTGCCCACTAGGGTTTCCTAGGCTGTAATCTTTACGGAAGCAGATTACCAGGCTTTTCTCTGGCAGAGTAGCTATTAAATTTAAACATCTCACCTTTCAGTTAGCAGCTGAGTATCTAACCAAGTCACATTTTAAAACAAGAAAAAGAAATAAGTAGGTGAAGTTAATCTTAATAATATGTTATTATGTGCTGTCGAATTGCCTAAGAAATAAGCAGGTGAAGCTAATCTTAATGTGTTGTTGTTATGTGTTGCCAAGTCTCCTGTGACTCATAGCAAGTCTATATACAACAGCTCTAAAGTCTGCCCTGTCCTGAGCCAGTCTCACTGACTCCAACACACTTACCCTCATTTTCCCCAACTATTTTATCACTCCATCTCATAAGGGTCTTCCTCTCCTGCACTGTCCCTCCACCCTCCTGAGCATGATGTCCTTCTCTAAGGTCTAGTCCCTCTTGGCTACATGCACAAAGTATGTGAGACAGAGCTTCAAAATCCTAGACTCCAAGAAGAAACCCTCTCTAAGACTGACTTATTTGTTTTCTTGGTGATCCATGGAATATTTAAGACTCTTCTCCAGCACCACAACTCAAAAGCATTGATTCTTCTTCTGTCATCGGTAGTCATGATCCAGCTCTCTGATCCATAGCAAGTAATTGCAAAGACCATGGCTTGGATCAGGTGCACCTTAGTCTCTAGACTGACATTGTTGCTTCTCAGTACTGTGGAGAGGTTCCTGAGAGCAGATTTTCGTAGTGCAATTTGTCTTTTGATTTATATTATTTTAACTCAATATATCCAAAATATTGTAATTTTAGCTATAATCAATAAAAAATTATTAATTTTTTTACATTCTTTTTGTTCTAATCTTTGAAATGCAGGGTGCCTTTCTTCACTTACAGCATGTCTCAATTCAGACTAACTACTCTGAAGTGCTTAAAAGTCACAGCTGGTTCCAAAATCTGAGAGCATCATTTAATGGGGACAATATGGATAACCATATCAGAAAATGCATCACTGGAGCGAAGAACATAGAACAATTCTTAGAAAAATTCTCAGTAATTCTGCTACAGAGAAGAAAACACTGAGAAAAAAGTAACAGCTAAGTCCAAAACTGTTTATAAGATGATTTATACCAAAAGCTGTCATGGGAAATTCTAGTTATTAAAAGGAAAAAAAAAATGTTCAAAGCACTGAAAATAAGGACAAAACAGAAATGCTGTCAAAAACAGCAAAATCTATTTTGTAAAAAAATATATGAGGAAGCAAGGAGGTCTTTGTTTATCAGAATGAGATGCCTTAGCTTGGTCCCATAATTCCCTGGCCTTTTTTTTAATATTTCTTGTCTTCCTACTGAAGAAGATTTTTAGATAGTAATGAGAGTCTTTAAACTCTGGGATAAAAGTTTCTCCATAGAGGACATAAATCCCAAAGCCTACATTTTAACAAGAAACTGGGTTATATTTATCCAATGAAACTTTTATTAAAAAGAATTGTAATTAAACATCAAAAATAAATTATTCAGGTTGGCATTTATTTGGTCCTTTGTTTTCTTATATCTCTTTTCTTTCCTGTCCTCACAGCCATAAGGGGAAAGGAGTAAATACACAAGAAAAGAGGACTTGCAGCAGCAACTGATGGAAAATAAGTTTGTAAGTATAGTATAATACAAACCATGCTAACATTAAGCAGTTTTTAAACATGAAGGTTTTGGGGTGAGTTTTTCCTCCCATTCTGTTTTCTAACTATGGTGTTATTTGGTGCCATTGAGTAGAGTACGAATCAGAGCGATCCTATGAACAACAGATATGAATGAACCCTGTCTTCCTGTCCTGTACCGTCCTCACAATCTCTGACACACTCAAGCCCACTGCTGCAGTTCTATATCAATCTATCAGGTTAAGGGGCTTCCTCTCTTTCACCATACCTCTAGCTTCCCAAGCAGGATATCTTTCTTCAAGGAATTATCTTTCCTAGCAACATGTTCAATCTATGTGAGACAAAGCTTCAGCTTTGCCTCCAAAGAGCACTCTGGCTGTACCTACTCCCAGACATAACTTTTGTTCTTTTAGCAGTTTATGGGTTGTTTAGTACTCTTCTCCAACACCACAGATCAAAGGCATCAATTCTCCTTCTGTCATCCTTATTCACTGTCCAGCTCTCTTGCATAGCAAGAGAATGAAAAGACCATGGCCTCAGTGAGGTGTACCTTAGTCCTCAAACTATGTATAGTATCATAAAGTTCTGAAAACATACAAGAATTGGTACAGTTCATCTTGACAGGGGGAGTTGTAGAGAATTTAAAATGAAGTTGATATTTGAAACTGAATTTGAAGTATGAATAACAAGCAAGGGGAAAGCTTCCTAGACAGAGTAGACAGCTTGGGCAATAACTTGAAGTCATGACAGGGTGTCTCAGGATTGAGAACGGTGTTTTGACTGTAAGATAGGTAGTTTTATAGTGAGTGGCAAAGGGTTGGCTAAAGAACTGGATGGGGGATAAATTCTGTAGCCTTTTACAATGAATTTAAACTTGATCCTGAAGCAATCAGGTCAATGGGAATTTTAAACAAGACACTGTATCTATATGGTTTATCTAACTTAAAATATTTCAGAAGAGTGACAGTGCAATTACTCTAGTGATAGTTGAGACTAGAGGTAAGAGGGAAAAAACAGGTTAAGAGGCTATAATAATAGGAAAGACATGATAATGGTTTGAATCAAAGCTATGGGAACACTGCCAAATACATGAAAATATTCTAAAAGACAGGCAATTAATTCAATATGGCAGGAAAGAAACAAGAGAAATCAAAGATAAAAGCCATGAACAGCATATTTCACTACACCGAAATCATCTTGCATTGTAATTTTTACCTTTTGTGTTAGTTCCGAGCACGGGGAGGTTGGTAAAACTGCTGGGTTGGCCGAGTCGATCGTCTTGGCTGGCCATCACCACCTCGGCGGAACTCCAGAGTCTGGTCATAGGTGCCTTCCTCCTATTTGCAAAGAGTAGTGATTTAACAAGTTCAACCTAGGTCCAAGTTTACTAAATACAAAATACTTTATGATATACCCTATTAAGCTGCCCTAAGAGTCACATCTGCCAATTTACAGTAAGGTGATGAGGGTGTGGGGGGAAGGCAGGAATATTGTTGAAACTTTCTGGTCCCCAATAATAGAAAATTAAATTCCTAGTGAGACAATTAAAATTTAATCCTAGAAAAGAAAACTACTTCCAAATAATAACAGACTTATCTCATCAAATGATTTTACAAAACATGGTGAAAACATAGAAAATGAATTGTTACAATAAAATTTCTTGACTATTTGGGCTTCTGAATATTTCTAGATATCAATCATGAATGTGGGTTCTGCAAGTTATGGAAAAGAGGCTGAAGATTTAGCTCTATGTTCTCATCTGATGAAAACGTGAACAGCATTAAGAACCTATCTAGAGGAAGGGAAAAGAAATAGGATGGGGGAAAAGATAATTTATACATAAAGAAAGCTTCATGCAACACTGAAAAATCACCAAAGTAAGACACAAAATTATTTTTTGCCTTCTTACTGCAGGGGTAGTTCAATCAGCTCAAGAAATAGCATGGGGAAATTAGGATAAGCAGATTAAACAACAGAAAGGGTAAAGTTAATTATAACATTTTAGAAGGAATTAGAAGCAACAGAAATGTAGCCAAAAGCCACACTGGTTTCTTACTGAGTGCTGCCACCCTGTTATTTTGGTGTTTATTAATGCTGCTATATTTCTTTCACAGACAGGAAAACAACAACAACACTGGCTCTCAATTTTGTTACGAAAGACATAGCATTTATTTCCCTAAGCAGAGAGTTAAGATTCCACCATAATTCTCAGAGCATGGTAAAATGCATTTAGAAATTCATCCGATTTCTTCCTCCTCCACACATTATCTTTGATTTTTCTTTCCCAAAATACTCCTTTATTTTGACCCCATTAATAGCACAGAAAATTATATGAAAGTCTAAATTTTATTCTCTAAATTTTTACAGATCCAACTACTGCAATGTTGCAAGATGGAAATACAAAGACAATAAAATAATCTAATCAAATCCTTTTATCTAGCAGTGATATTTACTATTTGGCATGGGCATAACTCTCATTATTAGGATCCTTCTCAGTATTCTTATGAAAAAGCTATTATTTCCACTTTATATAAAGGAAACTGAAGCCCAGGAATGCTTTGTAACTTCATCCTAATACTTTTCAAACAAAGATGAGTTTTTAAACGCACACTGCTGCTTAAATCCTTCTGCCTCACTGTACTTGCATATAAAAGAAATAATAGAAAAATATAAGTGATCACATTTAGATAATCACCTCATAAACAAGAGAATGTTAAAATCTGACACCATATCTGGTCTGAATTAATAAGTACATTTTTAGAGACAAACTTCCAGATTGACTCTCCCTCCCTCAGCCCTTTTCATTAACAATTAGTCTCAAAACATTTAGAAGCATCAGGTATTAAGTCTGTAATTTAGCAAGGCATTTAAAACACAAGAAGAATACAAAAGTGTTTAAGGAAAGGAGGTACTTTTTTTATTATTCCGGTCACCATTCTGAATGATGACAATCCAATATTATACCTACATTAAAAATGATGTTATTTAATTTTATAATAAATTGTAACATCTGAAGCTTTGCATATGAACTGAGAAGAATGAAAATATATTTAGCATTACAGGAGATGAAGGAATTATTTCAAAAGTTAGAAATGAAATGTTATTTTTCTTCACACAACTAGCTGGAGAATACTAAAAAGTCTATCCACCATCAGTAAGTTACAGTGTCTCCTGCAGGACATGGCATTTGCTGAGTGAGCTGAATTTATAAAATAAATGTTACTTGAATGGCTGTCTCTACTATGTTTAAAATATCCGCCTAGTATACTATCCAGAGCCAATTAAGTAGCTTTATATGCATGACTGACTATGAGTCGTTTCACATTATTTGATGTCTTCACCACCTTTTAAGATATAGCAGAAACCAAAAAGATTATTTTGACAGGCTGGTTTTCTATTATTTTCAAAGGCACAATCTTTGCCTCTTCAACATTTAAATATACTTTACACCAAGTAGTTGAGGAAAAATTAGTCACAACAACTACTTTTCAGAGGCTACAGCTGGGAAATTTTCATGTTTAACGAGTATCTCTTTGTATTTATTATGCCAGTATATTAATAAATCAGTATACTTTGAGTCATCTTTGGATAAAATATATACCTTGTTCTTCCTCTAGTCTATCTTTTTTCTTTTAGGAAATTAATTTCATTTCATAGTTTATTAGCATATGTTTAAAATCTGATCTTATTACAGAGCATGAAAAGTCTGAAGCTAAATCTTAAAGATGATGTAACTAAGAATCCAGAGCATAAACGGTCTGGCCCAAGTTAAAGAGTTCACTGGCGGCAAAGGCAGGACCAGGACAATCTTGTTTAATGACTCTCAGACCAGGGTTCCTAAAAATACTTATAACTTTATAAATTGAAATCTTCCAATATAATTTTCAAGTAACCTTTTGAGATTTACAACCACTTTATTGAACCTTGGATATTTGTTCATCTAAGCCATGTTCTAATATCAAATAAAACTTAGTTTTAAAAGACAGAATATATCAATATTTAAAATATATAACTTACTCAATGCCAAAATTCACGATTTGTTATCCCTTTTAACTAAAATGTTAAAAATGTAGCAATATTGCCAACCTCTAACATAAATCAAACGACATATATGTGGATGCACAACATCAATACTAAAAGGAAATACACAATTTTGTCTATAAAATGCATTTGACAGGCCAGAACTAAATTCTCATTAGTGCTTAGTGTGTCTGGAGTGAGAATGAACGGAGTAATAATCATGTATTCCCTCATTTATAAGTAGTGTTACAAAAGTACATTGCAAATTAGTCACTTGGAATCTACAACACACTTCAGTTGGAGGTTTGAAGCTTAAATAGAAGTCAGATTCTGTGTCCTAAAGAAACACAATGAAGTATAGCTAAATACACAAACTAGAACTCTAAGGAAGAAGATACATCTGTTCCTCTCACCTGTGAGTGGCTTTGCCTCACAGAAGGGATCTGCCAATATTTTTACTCATCACAACTAAGAGGTATCAAGTAGATACAAATGAAGGACGTGGTCCTATATCCTGTAACACAGAGTACAGTCCACTACCAAAAGAATTACTGCTTCCAAAATGTCAATAGTGTCAGTCTTGGACTAGGTGAAGGAAGGAGGAGAGGAACCTTCTTCTTGTCTAAGTGCAGGGCAGCCTGGGGAAGAGTTAACTTTGGTTTTGGCACTCTTTCCCCTCAATTTTTTTTTAATTAACTGCTTTAAGTTTTTAACTCTTTAGTTATTTATTTTCCATTTTTCTTTATTGACAGGGGGTTTGGGGAGTAACTAAGAGCGGATATATAATGAAGCAGATGAAGGTAAGAACTGTTTGAATGTATGATTAGCCATTTTTTGTGTGACAACAGTCCAGAATAAGAAAGAGGTGCACAGCAAAATTTTCCCTCTTTCTGGACATCTTTTCCTCTGTCTCTAGAACCTAAATTATTCAACTCCTGGTGGAGCATTTTATTGGTTTCTATTTGCTGACAATACATGCAATACTCCCCCACTGCTCCAGGTTATGTTCGGACTGACTTAATGAACTTAAAATACTGCTCCTTCAACATTATCCCAAAGCCACACTCTGTGAGGAGGGATTGATAAGATATTTGGTTGGCAGTATAGTATTCTCTTTGTAGAGAAAAACAGTAGTTGCTACCAACCTTCAATAGCAATTTTCCTATAATTTAATGAAAATTTGTTTTCAGTTCCTCTTAACAGAATTTATACAGTGGTCTGAAAACATACACCAGCATAGGAAATTTATGCCAGGTAAATGAAATAATTACCCTTGAAATCTAAGACAGTTTGAACAATAAAATGTTATTATTGTTAGGTGCTACGGGTCAAGAATGGCTCACAGCGACCTTATGAATAACACATCTGAATCCTGTCCTATCCTCTCCATCCTCATCCTGTCTGACACACTTGAGCCCAGTAGTACTACTCTCTTTATAGGATTCACATTTAAAGGATCCACATTAGAACTACTGAGTTTGTGTTTTCCAGGTCACCTTTGTCTGAATGGTTAGCTTGTATAGTCAGTTTATAGAGATAATTTTTATATAAATCTAAGCAAACAATCACTATAAACAAATACTTGTTTCCCCAAAACATCTTGTAATTAATCAAAAAACTAAAACTTAAAATATTTTAGGTCAATAATACCAATATAAGTGAGCTCTGGTGGTCTAGAACGGAAGGGTGCTGTCAACCTAAAGGTATACCATTTGAATCCACCAGCTGCTCCACAGAAGAAAGATAGGCCATCTCCTTCTGTGTAATTTTCTGCCTCTAAAAACTTGCTGAAGGGTCAACTATGGGCTGACTGCAACTCGATGACAAACAAACATCACACCACCACCACTATTCTAACACCTTAGAATAAATATTGAAAATAAAAGTTAACCTAGTGTGGGTTTTTTTCTGTAAAGATGATGGGTAACAACTATACACATGAGGTCTATGTAATATGGTCACACTGAGCCTTAATTTATTTCGTTTAATTCATAATCTTATGCCCTAAACACAACCAGGCCATTGGTAACCTGGAATTAAAATAATCATAAAATCGGAGTTTTATGGAGAAAACGGAGTCTCAATAAAACAGAAGATACTCTTTGCTCATGCAATTTGTACCATAAGTAAGCTACAACACATTCTTCTGACGCAGTCTTACTTGCCTTTAACAAAGATCAGGACTATAGGCCCAATGGAGTTTAAAACTATCACAGGAATCAGAAACAATCTAAATAAACAGTGTAATCTGAAAAATCATATTTAAAATTTATTATTATTTTGATAAATGTGATATACTTCTTTCAAATGAAATTGT